CCCGCGGGCACCGCGTTGGGGACCCCTGATGTAGACAATTCCTACATCGATGGAAGGGCTATTTGCTGTCAATGTAGTTAATGTAGTTTGTTAATCCATCTCTCTGAAAGGCGGTAGCTAGGTCAGTGGAAGAATTCTTCCATCAACATACCTGCATCTACAGAGTTAGGTTGAACTATACATGGCACTCAGGGCAAAAACTTTTCACAGCCCTGTGCAAGAAAGCTAAGTCGATCAATTTTTTAAGTGCAGACCAGGACTTAGTTTTGTGTGCTAGCCACTGGAAGATGCAGCCAGAGAGATAACAAAGGGAACGGCTTGCTGCACTGAGACTGAACAAATAAAAGCAGGGGACTGGACTCAATGACCTCTCGAGGTCCCTTCCAGTCCTAGAGTCTATGAATCTTAGACACTATTACAAATTAGGACCAGGTTCTCTTCCGCTCTGAAACCTTTGCCCAATGGGCCAAGTGAGGTCCATGTGAATAAAGCCTACAGGGAGGGCTACCATAAGGGCAGCTTTGTTTGGCTTTATACCCAGCTCTAGAAGTTGCAAAGTTAATAGCAAAAAAAAAAAAAAGAATGCAGCACCTCGTTGCCATTGATTAGACAGAGACAGAAGTGAAAGAAAATAACTGGACAGAAATCAATACAATCCTCACTTTATTTTCACCTTAAGTATGTAACAGCATCACACCTGGCTTTAGGTTGTTTAAAAAATATTTCATACTGCATTTTACTCAATGTTCAGAATAAATGGTAACATGTAATAAATGTAAACTGCACTGGCACCGTTTTTGCTCAATAAATAAAAAAAAGAAAGAAAGAATGCTTTATGTAGACTGCACACTACAGTATCTAAATAAATAACATAAGTTACTTTGAATAAATAGAGATCATCTCAAATACAGATGCATTGCATCAACTTCTTGCAGTTGGTCACTCAAGCCAACAATGCGGGAAGGGAAGTGGCTGAACAGATGAAATTGACCAGCGCTGAAGAATGGACCATGGTTACTAGGAAGAACCCAGTAAAATAACTCGATCCTGTGTAATTTACAAAGAGAAATGAAATATTGTTTCCCATTCCCATTGTGTTTCTTTCAGTTAATTTGAAACTACTCTCCTCTTTGAAATTGGGACTATGCCATAACTGTATTCCTTGCTCAACCAATATTGAAAGTATTTAGTAACCCTGTTTATTAAGAAAACAGATTTTTTTTTCCCTCCCTAAAAATAATTTGTCTTCATAAATTAGGCAAACCGATTTAACAAAAAGTTTCTGGAACTATTTAAGTAAGGAATGGCCCGTTTGCCAACGGTTTCACTCAAATGAAAACAATGAAATTGGGCTGCTTTTCACACATACACCAATACAAATCAGAAGTGACTCCAATTCAGCCAGTGGAGTTGCAACTGGGCTAACCACCTCTGGACTTCACAATCCTTCTTGCACTGGCCAATGCTATGGATATCTAGTAAACACACAGTGAATTGTGCTTGTAGCTCATTATCAGACGGAAGAGGGTAAAATCATCTACCAACTCTCATGGCTTGATCGCAACTGCCAGAATTTTTTTTTTTTAAATGCGTCGTGTCTGGAAAGCTCGTCATTTTTCAAACGCTATGAAATAGCTTTGCCCTTTATTGGTGGGTAGTAGTTAAAGCTAATGGCCGATCTGCAGCATACAGATATGCAAGTTGCAGGGGGAAAAAACCCTAACAGATGTTATTGTTATTAACAATAAATAATTCATGGGATGGTGAAGAAAGAGCCAGGTGGCAGATCTGGATGTCGCTTTCACGTAGAGAATTTTCCCTTTCTGCATTTTAGACATTCTTTGGGAGGCCTAAAATCTCTTACTGCAGCCGAGAAGGAGATGCAGAAGCATTTGTCAAATAATAGACGAGAGAGCCTATTAAAAACAGATTTCAGTGAATAAGCAATGGAGGAGCACCCAGAATTGACTGATTGAGCAACATTATTACGTAACACAAACAGAGGGACTTACAGTTCCTCTGTGTAATGGCCCCAAATACAGCGCTGGATAGGACACACACATTAAAATCCTTTGGCAAGAGGGAGGGAGCTTGGCACTCAGAACGCCAAACGTTAACACTCACATTCAAACAAGAAATCAAACCAAACCAATTCAGCCGGCCACATTTGCGGTACGGCACCGCAGAGATCAGGCATTCGAGTGCCCTCTGCTGTGCTGCTGAATCCTTGGTTCTTCACTAACAATGGGGCTGTGATTTTTGGAAAGGGGTTTTCCTAACCGATGCCCTGCCTGCAAACGCCAGGCAGAATCGCCTTGGGCAAGAGCAGGTTGGTAGCCAGAATGACACGGCAGTCAGCAAGGCTTTCAAAGGCTTTATTGGGCATTCGGATAGATCAGAACATTTTCATCAGCTTCAAGATGAGAAGAAGCAGCCTCAACCGTTGGGCTGGAAAACCGAGGCGAAGAGGGCAGCTGTAGCTCCGAGTTAATGGATGGCCTCAACACTCCATATAATGAAACTTCCCTTTCCCTTGGCAACCCCTCCTATCCCAAGGATTCAGTGCTGGCCATCCATCCAGATCTCAAAGCACTTCACGAACCCATTGTACAAACAGTGGACAAATTCTGCCCTTGGACACATACAAGTGACATGCAGGTAGCTGAGGATGGGACATCCACCCCCCAAAATGCAGCCTCTTCTGGGATGAAACACACCCGCTGTTTAGCAACACCACAGACAGGAAATGGCTACACGCTCCTATCCTGAAGAAACTGAGATAGGCTCAGGAGACGTCACGCCACAGTCCCTCCTTCTGTGGCACCTTTGCAACAACAGCGCCGAGATCCAACCAACGGGAGCCATCTCGCTCCCTGTCTCGCTCCTGTTTCCACGCCTCTCACTACAACTGCAAGTCTCCCACATGTCTATTCATCACGTCCTCTTCTAGAGTGATGTGATAGCTGCCACCTTGGCTGGCACTCTGGGGACTGAAGCGGGGAACCTACAGAGGCTAAAAGCAGAAACTGCTACAACTGGAGCTAAAATTCCCTAGCTAGGGTTGTAACGGACATATCCTCTGTGGATCAGGCCCAGAGCGGGATCTGTAGTTCTCACTGACCGGTGAGTTAGTCACACCTCTACATTAGCGTCAGTGTGGGTCCCAGGAAGGACAGGGAGAAGATCTGGATCGCTATATAGGAAACAGTCGTCCTCCACGAATAAACTCAAAGGGCCTCACACGGGTTATAACGTTAGCTCACTGGACCCCATTTTGTTTTACACGAGGGGTGCCAGGCCTCCTCCGGGACTGTCTTGGAGGCTCCTGGAACGAAAGAGGACGCTTTAATGAAAGATGATGCCATGCGATGAAACCTTCAGGAATACGTCCAACCAAACCCGGCAACCCTGTTTTACACCAGCATAAGTGATTTCAGAATCCAGCTCGAAAGGCCAAGATTCTTAGCAATCCTCAATGCCCAGCTGGAGACACCTTAAGGGGGCCTGATTTCCAGGGGGCGGGTGGGAGGGTAGCTCAGCTCTTGTTGAAAATCAGGCCCGTTTAAGGTAACTCAGGTCAGGCACCTGAAATTACTAGACACTGCTGAAAACCTTGGCCTTTGGGCCTGATTTGGACATCACTTAAACCAGGTGTGACTCCCCTGACATCAGTGTAAACCAATCTCTTCCCTTCAATTCCCACCGATTTCAATGGGCGCCTGGTGTGATTGTGAATAATTTCCACAGCATCAGACCGTAAGAGTTTGTCTTCCCTGCAAAGATAAGTTGAGTGTTGCCCCGAACTCGAGTCCCTGCCACACACAGTCGGCCTTCACTGGCGTATGGCGCTGCATTTTGCTGCCATCGGCTGGCCTGTCCGGGGTTATGGGTTACATCTCGAGAGAGCACAACCCATCAGTTGCTAACACAACCACCCCGTAGTGTGGACGCAGGCTACCGACACTCCCAAACCTCCGCTCTTCCAGAGCCTTCCCCTAATTCCCCACGTGTGGCCAGATAGGACGTTCTCCCAGAATTCACTAGGAAATCAGTGTCAGAGCAGCTTTGCTTACTGCAGGCTCAAGGCATTATGGGATAAATATCCCCAGAAGTCTTCGAGCCACGCACGTGTGAGTGCAGCGCCAGTGAGGACACGGCTGCTCGAGTGTTACCTTGTGGTGTGGCCGCTCTCACTCAAGCTTGGCTCGCACGAGAGGAGCCACCTGGCGTGTAGATAATTCAAGTGGAGCTGGTTGGGAATTTTTTGAAAAAACTTGGGTTTTTTGGTCAGAAGATGCTGGTTCATCAAAATTGAAATTTTTCCCAGGAAAGGGTTAGTTTCAGGAAGGTTTCTCACAAGAGAATAAGAGAGACACCTACTCCCCCTATCCTCCAGAGTAGCCAACTGCCCGGTGATCAGGGCACAGTCCTGGGGTGGTTGGGGGAGACCCATTTCCAGGAGTGGGTTATTGGCAATTCTGGGTGTTTCTCTCTCTCGTTTTCCACGACAAATTCCAAAAGGTTTCGATTTCATCACACTGCGGAACAGGGACCATTTCGAAATCTCAAAACATTTAGGCAGGATGGGAAAACCATTTCCCACCGGAGAGAACTCTGCAGTGAAGACCTATCCAAGTATATCAACCCACAGAACCCCTGTTCCCTGTCTGCTGCATTCTGGCCCCAGCCATAGATCATCTTTTCTTTTTAAACTGGAGACTATGCAAACAAAACCAGGTTCACTTTGAGAGTGGAGTGGGATGGGAACCAAACGCTCAAGAGGCCATTTACTCTTCTTCAGTTTTTTTAGAAGTCAGAACATCCCGTGATCCCAGCTCCCAAGTTGAATGCTATTACATCTGCTAGCCAGGCCCATGGCCTGAGGCGGTATGAGGGGATTTTTTCAATCAGAACTGTTGCTGTGACACAAGCCATGCTTGGAAACAATAATTTAAATAGCAATTGTGTAGGCAGTGCTGGTCAGACTGTTTGCTGGGAATAAATCCATTGAATATTTGTCAGCTTTAGCGCCTCCCTCCCCCGCCCCAATGAATCGATCCAGATTTCTGCACCTGCCTTCATTACTTACGAGCATTTACCTTTCACAGTACTTAGCTCTGTAATTGATCGAGCACTCACTGAATCCATGGGAAAACTCCCGTTGTTCACTAGCAAATGCAGGGTGGTGCATGAAGAAGAGACATTCCCCAACCAAAACCCTTGTTCCTACCAATAGCCAGGACTAGCAGATGTAACAGCAAGGGGATGAGAGCAAAGGAGCTATTTGGGTTCTGAACGCCTGCACCCAAACACTATGGCCACCTCTCATATTGCATCAATTCTTCCATTCCCTGACATTTTTCATAATGGCTTCATTTTCTGCATGCCTAAAGGAAATGAAAACCATGAAGAAATTAGCATTGATCTTCCCTAGGGCTCTGCCACGGACCACACGGATTATCAAAGTGCTACGCTCCAGTGATCCACTCCATCTGTTTTCTTGTCTCCAAAAGTGACTTTCAATTTACGTACACGTGGAATCTCTTGACTGTTGCTAGCATATCAGGTTTCCCTCGGATGTAAATATCACCCTACACTGATTCTGGCAAAGTGCTAATCTTCATCACACTTGTCAACAGTGAATAGTCCTAAAAATCACACGTGTCTTTGATTTATCTGTCACCTGGGTGACATTTTGATCTGATTTATACCTCGGGCAATTCTCCATGAAGCCAGTAAACTGGAGTCTCCAGTCACTAATGCCAAGTTCACACTGATGCAACTCCTCTGACTTCAACATAGTTACTCTTGTGAATGGAGAATCTTAGCTCCTTGGAGTTGCATACGGGCTTGCCGGGGGGGAGCTGGAATAGTCATCACAGAATTTGGCACATCAAATAAAATGAAAAGCAAAGGCCTGAGACACAGGTGGAATGGATTAAAGGGACCAATTCGCCTCTCATGTACCACAGTGCAAATCAGCGGCAATCCCACTAAACAACAGACTTGCGGTGGAGTTAAAAAAAGGGTGTAAGTGATTGTAGAATCAAGCCCAAAGAGGGGAATTCCACCACACAGCCTCAGGCTGAATTCTCATGCACAGCCTGCATTAGGAGGTGGAAGTTCTTGTGCTATATTCACTGTATTTTGTAGAAAATAAACACATTGGCTGTTAAGTATCAGAGGGGCAGCCGTGTTAGTCTGGATCTGTAAAAAGCAACAGAGAGTCCCTGTGGCACCTTTAAGACTAACCGATGTATTGGAGCACAAGCTTTCGTGGGTGAAAGTGGGCATTCACCCATGAAAGCTTATGTTCCAATATATCGGTTAGTCTTAAAGGTGCCACAGGACTCTCTGTTACATTGGCTGTTGTCACTTGTGAACTAGCAGGCGCTTGGGTTAGCCACACCTGCTGCTGAAGAGACTTTAAGACACCATGTTCGCATCTCCATTAGGGCATTAGACGTGGTTTGTAAAGCTGGGTACAAGTGAAGCAAAGCATTGCGGTAAACAGCTGCCTTTTGCAAACTGACCGGCGGTTTTACATGTGTGTACAAATCCAACAGATGGACTTTATTCCCCTCTCCTCCTGCCAGTTCCTACATCTGGGCTCCTCTTTCAAAGGTGAGGGTAAAGATTAGGATTCCAGAGCCCAGCAGCCGGCTTTTATATGGAAGCAGGGTGCAAGTGAGTCAAAGCCTGCTGAATGACGATGTTTATATTGCTTTGATACATCTTGGCTCCATTCAGCTAAGAGCAGCTGTTGGATCCAATGCAAAAAAGCCTGACCTTTGGCAGGGGTCAGTAATCTATGTTCTTCACTCTCCATGTTACATTTTTCATGTTTTGCAGGAGATACACACAAGAAGTATTTGGGTTCCCATTCACATTACAGGCTGGGATTTTCAACGGCAGGCTCCCAACTCCCCCTTGACATTTTTTTGGAGTTGCGTGCCTAACTCCCCTTGTCTCATTTGCAAATCCCAGCCGTAGATGCTAATTATCTAGGCGAACAGGAAGGACGAAACACATTTTCCCTGACTGCTGTGAAAAAGAAACAAGAGGGACAGATTCCGATCTCCGCTACTTTAATGTGGAGTGTCTTCCGATTTATAGCGGTTGTATCTGGGATCAAAGCCTGACCCGCAGCTGGGCAAAAGACAGGGAAGTCAATAACAATCAAAGAATTCCAGGCCTGTTGGCTTTTCATTGTCTTGGTGAATGCCCAGTACATGACACCAATGTTCTCCTTCTGTTTATCTTTTGCATTAGCTGGGAAAGGAGCCAAGAGGAGAAAACCAGCTACTCCACGCGACAAATATAGCCTGTTCAGAGACTGCAAAAGTCTGTAGTCTCATTTATTTCCCCACATAGTAAACAACACTGACCTGGCTGTAAACGCTAACCATAGACAGAAAGGGCCTGGTTCTTCTCTCACCCATGATACAAGCTACTCTACCCTATTGAAGCCAATGGGAATCACTTGTGTACGTGCCGTGGGAAGAACGGGGCCTGGGCTCTTTGGAGACAAGGAACTAAGCAGCAGACCCGCCCACACAGCTCACCACACTCTCGTACATGCGGCCAACTGGGTGGGAAGTCCTAAATCCAAGTCCTTCTAGGGTTCAGGCTCAGGTGATTGTGCCGAGTGTTTCCTGTTGCATTCAAAGGCCGCTGTAAGTTGGGTTCTTAAGATGCCTATGGATTTCAGCCCCATCTTATCTGCTGAGGTGCAAGCTCTAGGGTGGCCAGGTGCCTGGTTTTCGACCGGTCGAAAAGGGGACCTGAGAGTGTTCGGTCAGATCTATTGACTGGACACTCAAAGTCCAGTTCCTGGGAGCGGGGGAGGCGGGGACACGTTGAGTCATCACCCACTCCAGCTCCTCCTCAGCTGGGACCACCTCCTACCTGTGTTGGTCAGCTGTACCTCCTAGCCCTGGCTCTGCAGGTGAGTCCCTCCTGACATGGGTGGGGGGGTTGGAGGGGAAAAGCAGCAAGCAACAGGGGGGAAGGGGAAGAGGTGGGGCAGGGGTGGGGCCTCGGGGGGAACAGGCGGGGCAGGGGAGCTGCCGGCACTCCTGCTGGAGTGTCTGCTTTTTAAATATTACAAAGTTGGCAACCCTACACGCAGCTCCCGATGGACCTGTTGATTTCGACTGCTTCTGCATTGGGATCCGGCCTTTCTGATCTGCCATTGAACTTCTATTACAGCTCCAGCTAGGATGTTATTGCTCATAGGTATCCTAAATGTATCGCTCTGGTCTTCCACTGTATCACAACCCAATGCATCCCTCGCCCTCAGACTAAAACGCCATCCTATGGAAACACCCATCTCTCATACTCCAGAGTGTTTCTAAACCATTTTACAAGGTGCACTGAGGACAACCTGGTCATGTGAGCCGACCCCAGCAACGGTGGAGGAAATGGAGAGTTGATCCAGTTACTGTAGGTTGGCATGAGCCTTAAGACAAAAAGCTGATGAGAAGGAAGATGGGAAAGAGATGGTTCCAATGAGTGGGCAAACGAGGTGATTAGAATGGATCTGAAGGCCTACACCAGCTCTTGTGAGACGGGAGGCTTTCTGCTGATCTCAGCAGGAATTGGATCAGGCCCTAAGGGGGGTGGAAACACCAAACGTTTGTCCATTAAAAAGCCGCATTTGAGGTAAAGTTGTGTATGAATGCCAGGGAACTCCTTTTCCTTTTAAAGGATGGACCAGGCTGGAGCAGCCCCCCTCCCCCCCAATTTTTTGTACAGCCAAGTGGAAGTCTGGGCTCAACAGCCACCCCGGTCTTTGGGAAAGCGGAGCCCGAGACTGGTATTTTCAAAGGCGTTTGATGCCCAAATCCCAATCAAAATGAACGGGAAGCCCCAAGGCAGCGTCAACACTCTCAGCCTTACTCGCTAATCATCCCCACTGCACAAAACTCAATGGTATTTGGGTGCCTAACTCCCTTAGGCGTGGCCTACAGACAGATTTTGTATTGGTATAACTATTTGGGTTAGGAGTGTGATTTTTGACCAGTATAGTTATACCAGTACAGCTCCTAGTGTGGACACAGTTATACTAGTATAAAAGTTGCTTTATAGTTTATTCTCCTTCCCTATACTAATATAAGCACCTTTATACCAGTATAAGTGTGTCCACACTAGGGAAGTTGGACAGTTTTAATTACACTGGTATAGTCAAAGCGACATGCCCTTGAAGTGTAGACAAGGCCTTAGACTCCTTTGCAAACCCAAGTCTTAGGCCAGGTCTACGCTACACGCTTACTTCAGTATAACTTCATCACTCAGGGATGTGAAAAATCCACAGTCCTGAGCAACGTAGTTATACTGACAACCCCCCATGTAGACAGACATCGCTACCGCCTCTCACGGAGGTGGAATTATTAAGCCGACGGGAGAGCTCTCTGCTGTCAGCGTAGAGAGTCTTCACCAGAAGTTTGTAGTGTAGACCTTCCCTCGGTGTCTGATGAAGTCTGTAGACCCTGCAGGAGTATAGGCGCCAGTAACTCTATTACAGCAGTGTCCCTGCAAAAATAGTCCAAGGAGAGGCATGATGGTTCATTTCAGCAGGATAGAAGCCTACCTGATGGAAAGCAAAGGAGGTGCTCAAAGCAGTAGAAACATGGGAAATTCCTTCTCAACGATCACATTTCCCAACTACCTGAATGTAAATATGACTGATGCGTAACATTGAGATTTTCAAGGCTGCCTAGGAGATCAGAACACCCAGTTCCCATTAAAATTAAGGCAGCTTTGAAATTCTCATCACCCCCACACCCCACACCAATCCTCTTCCTCGCTCTCTCTCTGGTTAAAACCACCAACTGGACAGGTGTGTTAAGATCACTCTCCTGGCCCAAATCAATGGAATGGCTGGGGGTGGGAGGAGGGAAGCATCCAATAATTGTTCATTGACCTCACTAGAACGTTGGCGTAACAGCTGTGAAGGAATGATCGTATTCTGTATGTCTGCGATTGCCACCAATATTTATATCTATATCTCTCTATATATTCCTGTATATTTACAGAGCATGGATATACTGCATGTCTACAATAAAATAAGGGTAAGATATGATCTTAGGATATAAAGAATATTTCTTGACCGTTCAGTCATTTATCCGCACCCAACAAGGTTCCATCCATGTGAACTCCATGTCCTGGTGCAATTCTCTTTAGGCCGCAATCCGTCTCGGAGGGGAGCCTCTGAGAAGAGGCCTCAGTTTTCGTAGGACTAGGAATGTGGATGCCAATCAGACTCCTCCATTCCGATTGGATCGCAGTTCCGGAGCTGGCCGTCCAACTGCATCCAAAGACAAGGACGAGTGGCACCGTTTGGATTTGAAATACGTGGCCAGCAACGCTTTCCTGCTCAATCCCTTCGTGCGAGCAATACAATAAAAGCGCATGTGGATGCCAGGCTGGCGTGACGGATGCCGGCATCCCTGAGGAAATCAGCAGGTGTTTCCTCCTTCCTCTCCATTCCCCAGCTCCTCCTCCTTAGAGCATCCCAACGCTCCGGGGCACCGGGCCGGTGGGGGGAGCGTGGAGGCACCTGTCGAAGTGTCGAAAGGCTCCTCGATTTCTCTCAAAGCACAACCCGGCAACAAGAGTTTCCCTGTTGCCCCTCGAGTCCAACCACAGAACTGAGGTAGACTTGGAAACAGTTGCCTTCTTGACTCTCTGAGCCTGGGTCCCCTCTTAGTTCCTTTCACTCTCGGAGCGCAGCAATATCCCTTTAGGCCCTCGGGCTCTTGGCTTTTGAGGTGCTGCCTTACCGACATCAACCTTCCCAGGTTCCCTTTCCCCGCTTCACACGCAGCCACATTCCTTGGCCGACAGCTCGTTGACGGTGTAGTAGCGGTTGTAAGTGTCCAGGAAGGAGACGTCGTCGTCGTACGCGAGAGGCCTGCAGCAAGGCCGGGCTCTGACCTTCTCCTTTTTGATCTTCTTCTTCAGCCTCATGTTCTTCAGGGAGAGGTCGTAGTTCCTGACGGCCGTCTCGCACGTGCCGCTGCAGTAGCGGAACAGCACGGTCTCGTCTGACTCATAGCCCAGGCCCAGCTCGCTGACGCTCACCTCCAGCTCCTTCAGGGCGCAGGGTTTGTGACGGGCCCGGGCTCGCTTCATGCGGTTCCCAGGCTTGGGGAAGAGCGGCAGCTCGTGCGCCCCGGAGTTCATGGACTGGCTGTACCTCTCGACCAGCGTGGAGATCAGCTGTCGGATTTCCCCCTCCGTGTAGCTTTCAAACAAGGTACTGTCTGCAACAGAACAGGGACAGGGGTTAGCGAGCCAGGCAGCGGGGAACAGCAAGCACCAACCCCGGGAGCTAGCCACCCAGATCTCAATGGAATCTGGCCACCTGACTCCTTTGAAAATCCCAGCCCTGAATATGTCTACGGACTGCGGGTAAACTTTCCAAAAATGCTTAAGTGACTTAGAAACCTAAGTCCCATTTACTTACAATGGGATTTAAGCTCCTAAATCACATAGGTTCCCCCCTCCTTCACGTCCCCGGGCTGCACGCACAAGCAGGAAAGAGCCTGTAAAAGGGACAGGAGAGAGTGATGGGCGTTAGGAAATCAAGGCTCCAATCATTTGCGAAGCCCCTATGCAATGTTGACTACGTTCTCTACAAATTTAAGCTTCCATTCAAGACACCAAATTACCCGCCTAGCATTTCCCTTTGTGAAGCAATTGGCCTGTGCAACGAAACAGGCGTGCTCCTGCCTGGTTAAGCCGCCTTGCGGAAAATGGGCCCCAGCCAAACTCCAGCACCATCAAAGGCTGACATTCACCCCTCTCCCCCACCCTGCTTGCTCCTTAGAGGTCAGATGGGCCCGCTTTATTTAGCAGCGCAGAGGCCTTATCTACACTAGGGCTGAAAAAAATCACCAGTTCAAGTACTGTGGTTTAAGCACTAGTGCAAGTGGGGTTTGGGCTCTGCCTATCGTACAGTTTAACCCAGGGAAGCCAGAACCCTGCCCTTCCCGGCGATTGTTTTGATGATCCAGTCCGGTCACCTGCACAACGCAGGCCAGAGACCCTCCCACAGCGAGCCCTGTACCGAGCCCACCCGCCTGCCGTTGAACCGGGGTGTCTCCTTCAGAACGAGGCGCCCGCTTGAGAGGTCCAGTGCAGTCCGAGCCTGAGGGTGTTCTTAACCAGTTTGCAACACCACGTTGTGTGTAGCCCGGTTGGACGGGAGCGGGGAGTCCGCCCCTTTTGTGGGGCTGCAGGCGGACAGAGCTAACCCGTTTCATGCAGGAAAAGCCACCGCAAGGCAACAACTTTCAGATGCCACCAGCCTGATGCCGGCTAGTGCCCCAGTCCACTTTGTTCTTACTGGAGTCCTTCCTAAGGGCTGAATGAATTCCTCCCAGCAGAATCCACCGGCACCTTGGCCTCTCTAACACACGGTGAGCAATTAACCCGACGCTCGGGATTTATGGGGCCGCCGGCTTTTGTGGAGGCTGAGCTTTCGGATGTGTACAACATCCCCGAATGCTTGCAAGCAATCGCATGCCCAGAGCGGTTTACGACGCGTACAGGCCCCGGGGGCGGGAGCGGGTTTGAGGGATGCACATTCCAGTGACTGGTCTCAGCCAGCCAATAGCAGAAGCCGTTTGGCAAAGGGCCCGGCGCGAGTCATCCCATTGGCCCGTTGGGGGTGAAAGGGATGAAAAGTCAGCGGAGCTGGGCAGGAGCGGGTTCACTGGGGCCAAGATCCATAGGTGGGGAAATGCTTTGCCTGGCACCGTGCCCTATCAGCTCCCCCGAGAATACAAAGCTGCATGAATTAAGGGCCCATTCCCCGCCACGAGGGTTGGTTGCAGGGACAGGACCGGCCCGGGGTCCTACAGCTCTGGGAGTCACATTGCTAGGCAGCCAGATGCCAGCGCAGCAGCGAATGTCCCGTATGCCGATTCGCCGCAGCCAGAGCTCATTGATCCAGTGGCTTGGGTGGGGCAGAACCCCGTTTCCATGGCCACCGGGGCCCCTCTATGTAAAATGGGTGAGATCGTTAAAAATAAAATAAAATACAGGGATGAGTCAGGATTCAAGCGTCTTATTGAAACAGGATGAAAAATCTTTCAGCCTCAGAGCGAGAGGCTTTAACGACAGCTTTCCAGTTCAGCCCAAGGAGCCAAGCCGGCTCCAGATGGCACAGATGCTCTTAGCTTGGAGGATGTGGCCAGGGCCCAAGAGACAGGAATGCTTTCGGGGAGGCTGCCTTAGGCCTCGTCTACACTTGAAAGGATTGGCTGGTTGACCTATTCCAGTAACGCACTCTCCTCCCCCTGCCCCGCCTCCTCAGCAAACTCCCAGTGCAGCATTTCCAAAGCGATCTCACTTTGTGTTGTGTTTCCATGGCTTTCCTTGAGCTAAGCACCATGTGGTTGGGTAGGTGTTTGGGTAGGAGGCCTCCAGATGCTTTGGCCAATGCAACTTCCCTTTGAGTTAATATTGTCCAGCATGGGGCTTGCCTTTATAGGACATGTGAACAGGGGCGGTGAAGCCCTCCCAAAAGTCGGGGGGGGGGGCAGGGGCCCCTGTCCCCTCTGTGGACCCATCCCTGCCCCTCCTCTTCCCCCCCTCGAGGCCCCACCCCCAGCCAAGTCAGAGCGGGGCTGGGGAACCTGGGTGGGCCCCTCCACCTGCCCGAGGTGGGGGGTGGGGCCGCAAGCAGCCCCCAGCCCGTGTCCCCACCCCCTGGGTCCCCATCCAGGGCAGGTGGAGGGTCTGTGACTCCCCACAGCTGCCCAGGCTCCCCGGCCAGGCTCCAAATTTACTTTATTTTTTTTGGACTAGTAGCTGTCCTGCAAGCTAGAAACTGTTTGAGATTTCACCTTAGTCCAGTCCGTCCCAACACTTGAGCATGGATGAGCCCGACGCAAGGGAAGGATCCCCAGACAAGTATGCAAATTCATTTCCCATTATTGTGATGGCGCCCCCCAACTGAGCAGGACACGGCTATCAACTTTCCATTAGTTTACTCGCACTAGGAGACGTAGTGGTACCATGAAGAGGGGTAGAGCTGTTATCGGCTGTTCATGCCCCTCCAGAGTTAGGGTGTGTGTGGAGTGGTTTGTTTATGTACACGGGCATGCCCCTTCAATCCTGCTGAGAGAGTGCGATGAAACTTTCATGGAAGTCCTCCGCAATCCTCTCCCAAAGGTCTCCAGGCATGGCAGCCGTATTTCTTCCTCTGCAGTAGGACACATTCCCACGCCAGTCAGCAATTACCACCAGGGGGCCTGCCAAAGCGAACGGGCTGGCAGCCTATGGGCCCAGATGGCTTTGGGACACCAGCAACAGCTGTGGGAGGGGAGGGGACTTCTGAATCTTAACTTCCGCTTTCCATCATGACTCTACTGTCCATGGTATCTCCGTGCGTTTCATCTGTAGCTGATGCCGTTGCGGCCTTGAGAGGTTCCCCCTCCACGCCCGCGGAGTGCCTGAGTCGGAGAAGGAGAAAGAAGAGGACTCGGGTTGAACTGTTCAGCGAGATTCTGCAAGCCAATGTTGCATCAGACCATGAACAGAGGGCCTGGTGGATGAATATAGCAGAGTGGATGCAGAAGGAAAGAACGGACAGGAGAAATGCCGAGGAGGTCCAGCAGGAAAAGGAGAGGGAGATGCATTAGGACATAATGGGTCTTCTCCAGCAGCAAACGCAGAGGCTGCAGCCCCTTGTGGACCTACAGGTTCAATAATCCCAGGCTCGCTTTGGAGACCTCCATGGTCACTGCTCCCGACACCCTGCGACATTCCATGTGGCATCAGGGGCCACATTCCTACCCCTCTACACAGGGGGACATTAAGGAAAATCACAGCTTCACCTGAGCCACAGTTGAAGTATGTGTAGCTAAAACGGACATGAACGCTCCTTCCCTTTCTTTAAGCTGTGTTCCAAAAAAAAGAAAGTCCCTGCTTGTAGCTTTGTGAACAGTCCTGTCTCCTTAGAGATGCAGGCATCACGCACCTTCTCTGACCAGTCAACACTGATGCTGGTGAAGCATTCCTGGTGATCCACCAGTGCTTGCATAACCATAGAAAAATAGCCCTTTCTGATGCTGTCATCCATGGCAAGGTGGTCTGGTGCCAAAATAGGGATTAGCGTCCCGTCTATTGATCCACTCGATAACCTCATTGCTGGAAATCCATCCCTTATGTCCTGCCCATTGCTGAAAGTCACAGTCCGGCGTAATGGGAGATGTCCCTGCACATCTGCATGACAACCACCCCCGCCGTGGATTTTCCAACTCCAAAATGATTTCCCACAGACCGGTAGCAATCTGCCGTGGCAAGTCCCCACAGCGCGAGGGCCACTCACGTCTCCACTGTCAGTGCTGCTCTCACGTTGGTGTCCCTGGACTGGAGGGCTGGGACGAGCTCGGAGCACAGATCCAGGAATGTGGCTCTGAGCATACGAAAGTTCTGCAGCCGCTGCTCATCATCCCACGCCTGCATTCCGATGCGATCCCACCAGCCACCGTTTGTAGCTACTCTGTGAATGCCTCCAAAAACCTTCACTTGGTTCTCGCGGTGTTCCACAGCAATCCGCCCTCCAGGAATCATCGTGGTCCCCACGACTCATCTCGTAGCTCTGAAATACTGGAGGATCACCAGGCCTGTGCTTGTCCTGGGGGGTTTTCGCCTTTCCTGAGGTTTTTCACCTTCCTCTGCAGCATGGGGCACGGGTCACTCGCAGGTTTAAACTAGTGTCAATGGTGGAGTCTCTAGAACTTGAGGTCTTTAAATCATGATTTGGGGACTTCAGTAACTCGGCCAGAGGTTAGGGGTTTGTCGTCTGACCGCCAATATGCAGGAGGTCAGACGAGATAATCAAAAACTATTTCACTAGGAGGGTGGTGAAACACTGGAATGCGTTACCTAGGGAGGTGGTGGAGTCTCCTTCCTTGGAGGATTTTAAGGCCCGGCTTGACAAAGCCCTGGCTGGGATGATTTAGCTGGGAATTGGTCCTGCTTTGAGCAGGGGGTTGGACTAGATGACCTCTTGAGGTCCCTTCCAACTCTGATATTCTATGATTCTATGATTCTATGATGGTCCCTTCTTGCCTTAAAGTCTATGCGTCTAGCTCTCATGACAATAGTCCAGAGCAGTGCAGGCTTCATGCTTCTGTCAGAGATGGTGGACAGTGACAAGTCCCATGCCAGTTTGTGGGATTTTCTGAATAGGCGTGAAAATTATGGGATGGAGATAGCATTCTGGGATGGAGACAGTTGCACGAGGGGA